GTACTCTGCCCTCCATGGCTTTATGAATGAATGGTTCGTGGCCCTGTGATACGTACAATGCTTCACACGTATGAAAAGGGGGGGGCGGGGTGCTTAGGGGGAACTTGTCAGTGGGCCGCGGAACACCCCCTACGGTTGCCAAACCAATGGGGAGCGGTTTGGGTGGAGAGTGAGAGCAAGGAGAGAGGAGTTGACTACTGCGTGCCGGATTCGTTTTAATGTCATTGATTCCAAGAAAAAATGGCACCCAGTAGTCAACCCTGCTATGATGTCCGTGTACTGACTGGCAGCGTCTCACGACCGCATACTTCCTGCAGAGGGACACACAAACAACATTAAACAAACCCTCACCGAGATTAAAATCATCGTTTTGCCGTTCCACTTACAGACACATACACAAAAGCACAACCATCATGTCGATGTCAGCGGCGCAGGCGAGGACAACTCTTAAAGAGGTAATGCAATACGCTGAGGAAAGCATCCACTACGAAGACGACGGGGAACTTGAACTACTAACGGAGAGAGTGCCCAGCTACTTCGAAGTCAGAGTGAACATTCGTGCAAGCATCACTGTGAACGGAGAGGAGTCGCTCAGAGCATGGATGCTATTGGCACGGTTCACAGAGACGCGTGATTTGCATGTAGACGACAGTGCTGATACCGGTGCATACAGCTTGAGAAAAGTGGTTGGTTGGATGTGCACAGAAGGGATGTCTGTTGAAGGGGACGTGGATATGACAAAGCAACAGCAGGGCGGAACATACACAACAACTGATTTCAAGAAGATGCTCATGACACAGGCGAGGAAATGGGGAATGCTTGTTGAAGATTCTAACGATGAGATGAAGAGCGGTGCAACAGAAATTCTGTTGCTGTCGCGTTTGAAGGACATACCGCAAGCTCCCCCGCAAGACTTCCAAGATCTTCCAGTCATTATTGCAAACGGGGTGGAGTATGTTTTACTCGACCAGCTGGTGGATTTCATGCAAAAGAGTCCTCRGGATCGGAATGTCATACATGAGGCATTGCATGATGTGACAGAGCAAGCACTGGCGGGCAAGGACCTCGTTAACTACAAGGTGCGGACTGTGGAAGAGGATGTCATATATGGAACTCCATTATGGGATGGAATATTCATGGAAGTTTTGCATCGCCTCACCATCGCGACTTCTGACGTGGACAGAAAGAGGTCAAGGGAGGAAGGATGGAAGTTGATCGCAAAGGAAGCAGATGTTGCACTTCAAGCTGCAGATGGACACACTTCATCAGGGGAAGAAATTGACAGAACAGTCTCCTTCGTGCGTGGGAGCATCATCACAGTGTCCAGGGAGGAGGTTGAAGAAGAAAATGTGTTCAATGAGTGGACAATGATAGAACAACAACGGCGACGAGGGTTCAAAGACTCTTCTTTACCAATCGATTTTGACTATGACATTGAAGAAACAACAGTGAGGAACAATGAAAAAGATGCGAAGCCGCCAACATATGAGGTGGAAGTGAGTGGCAGCGATGTGAGCAGCGACGAGGAGGGTGAGGAGTATGATGCGTACTGGGATATTGAAGCAGGAGGAGGGCAAGCATCTAAAGGGTGGGCACATGCGATTCTCAGGTTGGCACGTGTTTTCCGTAATCCCCATTTACTGTTGTGTGTCGTGCTGAAGGAGGCAACACCTGACGGCGCACTCCAGTATGCAGCACTGACGACCATTATGAGATCATGCTCGAATGGAAAAAGATGGTCACGTATGGGAAATAATTGGTTTGTCTTGGTCAACAGAGAGGCTGTCCTCGCAACCTCGCTCACTTGGGGCCTGGACCTTAGTTGCCTCCTACACGGGGCTATAGCCAGCGGTTTTGGTGCTACGTTGCACCCGACACTATCAACAGGAGAGGATATACTTCGTGCTCACACATGGCTTGGCTGCCCTTCAGAGACCATGATGGACAGCTTGGTGGTGGACAGCGTTGAATGCAATTGTGCGTTGCACACGCATTCTTCTTGTTTTACTAATTTTGCTATTCACAACCAGAGTTTGTGAGGTATTAGAAGTGTTGGACTGCTCCACAACGGTGTACAAACTTAAGCTCTCTCTTTCTCTCTCTCTCTCTCTCTCTCTCTCTCTCTCTCTCTCTCTCTCTCTCTCTCTCTCTCTCTTTGCATGGGTCCGCATGGTGACGATCCTGAACTAGATTACCATCTCGCTTTGCAACCAGACCGTATGCACACCATTGAACACGACATTTTTTTGCATATGATAGATGCATTCAAGGCAACTGCTTATAAGAAGTTGCCAGATACCGCGCAAAGCGAGATATTGCACGAGATGGATGCGAGGTTGCAGAGCATCAGTGAGAGATCCACACGGACATACCCGCAGCTTGTGTTGCCCGTAGCCACAGGTTGTGATTTCTTTTCAAGGGAAGGACAATTTAAAGCGAAGCAAAATCGGTCTGTTATGACAGTTTGCGTGTTTATTATTTGTGATATCATCCCACGTGCGACAGGCAAATCCATTTCCGCTTGTTTCATCAAACTCATGGAAATGTACATACACGTATTTCGTAAGTCAACCCACACAGCGTCCTCTCTCGATGTTTGTGACACATTGATAGGTGATTTCATAACTAGTATAAAAACGAAGATGGAAAAATATCAAACCTCTGATTGGAAAATTCCGAAGTTACATGACCTTATGCATTTGAGAACAAGCATAGAGCAATCTGGTGTTCCCGACATGTTCGCAGCTGATGTGTAATCAGAGGTTCTGCAAACAGCCATATTTGTCATCAAACAAGCGTAAGGCTGCTTCCCAGATGGTGAATCATGTCCGACGCTCATTGACTTTGCAGGATGAGATGGAGAGTGTGAGAAAACGCAGGAAGAGGTCGGCAGAAAATTGGTCATCCGTGATAGAGTGCATGGCCACCGGAAGTAATACCCTGGCAGCGGGCGACACATCAACTCTACCACTCCGGTGGTTCCAGATGGACGATGTTTATTTGCCAGGCGTAGAGGGTATGAACGATGCGGCGTTGAGAATACTTAATGAGCTTCCCCGCAGAGAGGATTTTCGAGCTGCACTTACGACGTTCATGACAGAGATGGGTTGTCAACCTCCATCTGATGACCAAGTCATACACACTCGAACACACTTGACTATCGCCTGCACATACGACGGGACGCACAGGGGCGCAAGCGTTCAGACGGCAAGAGCTTCACCACAGTTCCACGGGAGAGGCGTGCACAGCGATGTTGCAGTGAGAGGTGGCAATGACAACATATGGTATGCATCAGTAGCCATGTTTTTCGTCATGAACGCTTGCACAGGTGGTGTTGCGGAGATGCACAAGTGTTGTTTCCTGCAATGGTACAAAGAGGTGGATAGCGAAAGGGAACACACAACAGGTTGTAAGAAGTTGCAATGGGAGAAGGTGAACGGTCATCAGCACAGTAGCGTCATAACGATTGATACCATCATTGACACCGTTCATATTGTTCCTTGTTTTTGTAAACCACAGTGGGGCTCGAAGAATCATCTAAGAGACCCAAGAGGGTGGACGAGGAACACTTGTTCCCGTTCACGTGGAAATCAAGAAGACACACCATATCGATAACAAAACGGGACGTATTGCGATTGGGTGCTAAGCAGTGGCTGAACAATAACGTGATCGATATGTACTTACAGTCCGTCTATGACGAATATTTTACAGACGGAGACAATATGACACTTCATGTTTACACATCTTTCTGGCACCCTGCAGTCATCGCCAATCAGAAGGTTTATGTCGCGAAAGCGGGATGGCAGGGGCGGATCAAGAGTACATCGCCAAAGCTGCGTCGAATAAGCAATGAACTGCGAACAACAAGTGTTGTTCTCATCCCTGTGAATCACGAAAACCATTGGAAATTGCTCTTGCTACTGAATGTCGGCTAGTTTTTGGCAGTCACGGAGGACAACAATTGCCAGAAACGACCTGTTGCGATTGTCATCGATTCCTTTCAACAGAGCGTCCGACAGGAATGGAAGGCGTTACGCACATTTTTGTAGTATGAATACCTCAGCGAGACAGACAAAGCAGGGGTGTTGTCTCCCGACACAGTGGACACGTCGTGGGTAACATGGAGAGATCTACTTGGATCTAAGATAGTGTACGCTGAATGTTCGCAACAGACCAATACGTCGGACTGTGGTGTTTACGTTTGTTGCGTGGCAGCTTAATTGATGCGAAAGCTAGCAAAACTGAGTAAGCAAACGAACATTACCGCAAAATATATAACAGAAGTTGTTAGCGCGATGGAGGTTGACGACCAAACGGTCGACGTATTTCGTCAGTCAATGGTACATCGCTTTGCGCAGTGTGCTGTCGAGGCAAAAGGATATAACACCACAGCAACATGTGACATAGAAAATGTTTTCAGAGATCTCATAGACGGAACACGGAGTGGATGTTCGTAAATACGAGGGCATGATAGAAACCGTGAGATTAGGAAACACGAAGTTGACAACCGCGTGCAAATATACAGAACTCACACGTCGTAGAGAAGCCAATCGGCATGCAGTAGCCAACTTCTGCGCTCAGTCGATGGATGAATGCGTGATGTAATAAAGAAAAAAATATCGTCTTTCGTGTCATAACGGCAAAAAAACTCTCTCTCTCTCTCTCTCTCTCTCTCTCTCTCTCT